ATGTTGCCACGGAATGCGTTGCCAGGCTGCAGCGATGCGAGATGGGACGAGGATTCGTTCGAGTTAGGGATGATTGGAGCTCGAAGTAGGTCGGCGCTGAGCTCGGTGCTTTGACGGTTGGGGGATGCGAAAAAGCAAGGCGAGGTTTGAATGAATTTTCCGACGCCGTGCACTGTGGTGACGCCGGCAGCAAGTGGAGGTTTGGGTTGACCAGGGTCAGTGAGTACAGCGGCGGGAGTGGAGGTGTTTCTGAAGCCGGACGGCTCCCAATCCGCAGCAGCCCTTGGCGGACGCGTCCAGTGAGTGATGAGGGGCGCCAGGCCAGGCCAGACGCAGGCCAGTGGCCTCCACCACATGGGCGGGACGGGAGCCTGCCAACAGCCCAGCCCGGCTCAGCCCAGTATAGTAGGTACAGTCAGCCGCCAGAGGATGTAGCTGCCCTTGTGCGCTGAGAGCGGCGATGACGCTGGTGTCCACCTCACCACGGGGCACACTGGCCAGGTGAGGTGGGGTCTGCTGCTGGTGCGCCAACGACGAGAGCTCTCAACTCATTGCCACGGGTGAGGTGCTAGTAGTGCCACAGCTGGAGCAGCACTAAGTCTGGTGACTTGAGAGCTGGGTCAAGAGTCTTGGTGAGGCCGTGTGCCATCCAGAACCGCGCCTCAGCAATCCAAGATACTGAACCGTCTGCTCCAATGTAGGCACGATTCGGCAAATGAGCCTCGTGCGCGCACCTCTCCACCATACGTAGCGCCAGGCTGGGCGCCGCAGCACCTGTGGAGCGAATGTGGCTTTATCGCAGACAAGTGGTGCGTCGAGTGATTTTTGGTGGGCAGCCGTGCAGGGTCACCTCACCGGTCTGCGGTGAGAACATTCCACAATGTTGAGGCCCGCGGTTCGATTCAATTTTTTTCCCCTCTTGGGCGGACATGCCATCCCAGAGGCAGCCAACCCTGGAACCTTGGGCATGCTGGCTGTCTCAAGGGATCCCCCGTCCGTAGCTCCGTCCCGGCCCGGCGAGGGCGCGGCAGGGTATCTGCCACAGGAGGTTTTGAGGACACGCAAAAGAAACATGAGCAGTCTACCACGGTGGCCCGTCATTATCAACCACGGTCTCATGCACCTGCCCAACGGCTCTCGCTTGCCATGTGTTTCGGACCAGAGACGCCTAACCATGGCTGTGTGGTGGCTCAGCCAAAGCCATTGCACAGATGCCCGACAGCGTGCGAGATATTGAAGAAGATGGCCGCGGCTCTCAGGTCGCAAATCCCCTGCGCTCACTGGGCTCCCTATGTCGAGGTGCCTGCGTGCGACGTCTGGGCGCGTCTCCGTGACAAGCCGAGCGTGGCTCGAGCACGTGAAGCGATCTACCCTTCTCATTCACCCAACGCAGGGACAGGGACAAAAAGGGGCCGGCAATGGTAGCCACGGCATATTCAGCATCCTAGCGAACAAGCCGTTGCAGATCCCTGGCGCTTGTATGACACAGAAAATCCATGCAAGAAGGAATTGGTTGAGCAGGGACGTTCATAATCGCATCATCTTCAAAATCAAGCTGACGTGCACAGGGTCTGACGTTGAGGCCGTCCAGCCTCATGGCTCCACTAATTCCAGGCTGGATCACGAGGGTGTAGGGTAGGCTGGTGCGTCGAGGCGATTCACGCTCGCCGACGTGAAACAGCCGGGACGCAACGCAATCCTCTATCGACGTGTTAGCACGCTGTTCCGATTAATTCTTGGCGTCACATTTGACATGTCTGGATCAAGAGCCAGTGACGGTGATGCCAACGTCCCTTCGTCTCATGGTGTGTGGCAGCCACGGCACCTCGGGGAGCTCGCACGTGTTGCTCACTCGATCATGTGTGCGAGTGTCTCAGGGATCACTTGCTGCCAGGGCACGGCACACGACCAACCCTTTGGCAGTCACATCTGAACCCAACAGCTCGGATGCAACGCGACAATCTTTCGCTTGTCAGTGCAGCACTGGTCTATACTGTACAGTACCTATCGCCTATCATGAACAACCGGCCTCATGGAAGGCAAGTGGAGGAATCGAGGGGCCCACGGTGAATGCGTGTCGACGAGGGGAGCCGGAGAACGGCCCGTCCTCAAACGTTACCCGCCATCCCGCCTTGTCCTCGGATCGACGTTACACTGAGATGGCGGCGGCATGACACGGCCTTGCCCAATTTGTACTAAGCTCAACGGAGCCGTACACGAGGCCCTGCGCGATACAGTACTGGCCGGAGCATGCTCGGAGACTCAGTGAAGATGCCACCAAGCACAACGGTCGAGATGGATTCTGGAACCCGCCTCGTAGGAGCAAAAGGCGGGGTCGATCGGGTTGGACGACGCCGAGCAACGGCGGGATTCCTTCGAGGACAGACCGGGGGGGCTGGTGCCAACCCCGATCCCCCACGCTGCCGCCAGAAGACATGGAAAAGCACGAAGGGTCCTCTCTAGCGGCCAGGGGTCGGCGAGGGCCAAGGGGCGGCGCACCAGGGACGAGGACCCATTAACTATCGCATTTGCTCCGTAGATGGCGGGGGGATGCCCACTTTGGCACGCACTTTTGCCCACCACCAGTGGCAAAGGCCTCGCCTGGCCTTGGCCGCGCAGCATTATGGTGCAGTACCTGCCCATTAGCCGCAAGCGGGCGTGCAAAAAGCCTCATGTTTAAGCCTGCATAGGCGGCCCAATGCTCGAGGAGCGAGGGCGAGTCAGGGCGCCGCCCAGGCCGAGCCGTGATGCGCCAGCACTGCGTGGCTGCATTTGGGCCACCACCTGGTTCGCAAGTCTCACTGGCGTGCCCAGCCCGCCGCGCAGGTACGACGGCGGCGGCCGTGATCCGGTCCGAAAGGGCGGCTGTTGGTTGGGGGGTCTGCTTGTCAGCATCGTGTCGAGGGCATCGGGACAGCCTGCACTGGCGGGCAATGGCAATGGCAATGACAGAGGCGCCGCCCATTGTGCCTGCGCGTGGGCCAACATGACTCGACAGTGGGAGAGGCCCATGACAACGATGATCCAGGAGCTCCGTGGGCTCCGCGCTTGGAGATGCAGACGGGAAAAAAAGACTCGCCCCTTGCGCGAGATGGCTCCCGGCGGAGGTCCAGCGGCGGACCAGGAGTGATCAGCTCGCGTGCGTTCGCATCGCAACTGGAGAGGTGTCAAACACGAGGCACCAAGAAACCCCAAAGGGGCCGGGCTGGACGATGGATGGTCCAGCGTGGCGGTGGGGCGCCCTCAGCGACCGCCTAGTGAGCCCCAACAAGGGGACCACGGAAGGGGACCAGGGAGGTTCAGACGCTGCCTTGGCTGGCATGGCTGGCCAGGCGGCGCTTATCGATATACCCCACGCCGCTGACGGGACACTAACGAAATCCCCTCCATGGGTCCCAGCCGGAGAGCCCCATCTCTTAGTCCGGCATGTACTTCAGTCGTCACGCAACGGCGCACTGCATCTCATGTATCGGCAGGCAAGCCGGTGGTGCCGCAGCTGCTGATACGGGGGACAGACGGGCCTGGGATGGATGGACCATGGAGGCGCGCCATGTGGGATCCGTGGTGCAGGCTGGACGCAGGCTGGATGCGGGCGCAGGAAAACTGGGCTGGATGGATGGATGACTGGGACGGCCGTGGACTGGGTGCTGAGAGTGAGCGAGTGAGTGACATTGTCGGTGGGAGGGGCCCGGATCCCGTCTGATGCCGCGTCCCGGCGGCGCGATGGAACTCTTCTTTAAGGGTCTCGGGCCCCTGATGGACGCAGCTCCTTCTGGATGCAAACAACCTTGCGCACGACCACACGACCGAGCGTACCGCATAGGCACGGTGCAACACCCGGACCTGGGGACAGAGCTCGGCTTCCATCACACAGCACAGCACATCCCTACAACTCAACTCTCATCGACTCCCGTCTCCTCCTACGCTCTACAGCACTACTCGGCTCCAGTCCCTTGGGCGGGTGCCATCGCAGACCCGCTGTCGCCGCCGCCGCTCGTGTGATCACGCCCGCCCGACACCTCGTTCCGCGCAGCTCGGTCATGGCCTCGCGAGAACGTGTGCTTGGCCGCTGCTGCTGATAACGCCATCCCTCACCCAACGTATCTCCCGTCCCGACTGGCAAGGTCCGTATCCGTGCCTGGTCCCCCCTCCAGCCGTCTGCCGAGCAGGTGCAGGCGAAGCCCCGACCTCCAGGCGGCCTGGTGACCTTCCCCCCCACGCGCCGTGCCCACTGGTCCGCTGACCCTGGCGTTGGGTGCAGGTGGTCCCATCGCCCGCGCTGTTCCACCACCATCTTCACCATCGCCCTTTGGCCATCACCTGTCACCTGTCGCGGCAATCCGTCCGGCCAGCGACAACAGCACGGCGACCTCTGCGTCGGCCGGGGCTTCTTCTCGTCGACGACCGCCGACTTTCATCTGTTTTCGAATCATCAAACACTCGCGCTGAGCCTTTCGTCCGGCATGAATTGACAGCATCGTCCTTCTCCATTGCGGACGGCGTCTCCCCGCACTGCCCCTCCACGCAGTGACCTCGCGACGGCGTCATCACCCCACCAACATCAGAGACGGGAACTGAACGTCAGTTGCGGCCCTGCGCCTCGCGCATCGAGCGAGGAAACAAAAGAAAACCAACGCCGGGACCATCCGCACATTTCAGGGGCCCAAGAGCCTTCCTCGTGCTTCGCTACGTCGGCTGGCACGACAATCAGCAGCACCATGGCCCAGCAGCAAGTAGACGGACCTCCCGCGGACGCATCACCCGCAGCGTCGGGCAGCATCGCCGCCGACGACGATGCACCCCCCGCCCCGCCCGAAGTCCTGGACAAGGGCAAGGGCCGCCGCCGCCTGCTCCGCGGCCTGCAGCGCATCTCTTCTTCTCCATCCTTGAACGGCCTTCGGCGCTCCAAGTCCGTCGGGAGCCCGTACAGCACCCGCAGCACCTTGTCGTGTGCCAGTCTCACTGCCGCGGGCCCGCCCCAGGCGCAGACGCCGTCCAGTGCTCGATCATCCACACCACAACCGTCACCGCTCGGACGACCGCACGCCGCCTCGACCGCGACCTCGGCTTCGACCGCCCCGACTTCTGCGGAAGAATTTCCGTTCTACGACGACTTGCAGGACGAGCTTGCCGTGCGCAGGGTCGAGCATGGCGCCTCGCCGCTCTCGCCCGCGACGGCGGCCCTACCCCCAGAGCTGCGCTCGTCAAAGCAGGACGGCCAGCTCAGGGCCCGGGCAGCGTCTAAGCTCGCTCAGAAGCCCAAGTTCCCGTTCTGGGAAAACATGCCATACGAGCTTTGCATCCATGTCTTCTCTTACATGAGGCCCAAGGAGCTCGTCCAGTTGTCCCGAGTCAGCAAGATGTTCTACAAGTTCTGCTTCGACGGCCAACTCTGGACTTCCTTCGATGCTTCCGAATTCTACCAAGAAATTCCGGCAGAGTCTCTTGCCAGGATAATCGTTGCGGCTGGTCCATTCATCAAGGACCTTAACCTCCGGGGTTGCGTGCAGGTTGAGCACTACAAGCGAACCGAGGTCATCGTCAAGGCTTGCAGGAACCTCATGAACGCTACCCTGGAGGGCTGTCGCAACTTCCAGAAACATACCCTACACAATCTGCTCAAGAGCAACGAGAAATTGGTGCACTTGAACTTGACAGGACTGGCTGCCGTCTCTAATACTTCATGCAAGATCATCGCCGAATCGTGCCCCCAGCTCGAGAGCTTCAACGTGTCTTGGTGCGAGAAAGTGGAAGCCAAGGGCATCAAGGCCATCATCGACTCATGCTCCCGGTTGAGAGACCTCAGAGCTGGCGAGGTGCGCGGCTTCGACAACGTGGCCACGGCCGAGTCCATCTTCAACACCAACAACCTCGAGCGGCTGGTGCTATGCGGCTGTGTCGAGCTTACCGACGAGGCTCTCAAAGTCATGATGCACGGAAAGGACCCGGAGATTGACCTTCTTACGGACCGACCTGTAGTTCCGCCCCGAAAGCTGCGACATTTGGATCTCAGCCGCTGCAACCGATTGTCGAATGTCGGTGTCAAGTCTATCGGCTATGTTACCCCGGAGCTGGAAGGGCTCCAGCTCTCCGGCTGCAAGGCCCTGACGGACGGCGCGCTTGAGCCCATACTTGCCTCGACTCCTCGGCTCACGCATCTTGAGCTGGAGGACCTGGAGGAGCTGACGAATTCGCTTCTCTCCGAACACCTGGCCAAGGCTCCTTGCGCGGCGACCCTCGAGCACCTGTCACTTAGCTACTGCGAGAACATTGGCGATGTCGGAATGCTGCCGGTCATGCAAAAGTGCGTGCGTCTTTGCAACGTGGACATGGACAACACGCGCGTCAGCGACTTGGTCCTTGCAGAGGCCGCGTCCATGGTAACCAAGCGCTCAGAGCGTTCGACGAGCGCGGATGTGCGCCCGAGGATGACGCTACAGCTCGTGGTCTACGACTGCCAGAATGTAACCTGGACGGGAATCCGGGAGGTGCTCTTCCGCAACGCGCAGATCCGACCGGCCTCGGGGCAATCTGGCGCAGCGACATATCCCACCGAAATCATTGGATTGAAGTGCTTTTACGGCTTTCAAATGACGGTGGACGAACACCAAAAGAGGCTGCTGCGAGGTGATCTCTCATCAGCCAGCAGATTGGAACGGAAATGGGCCGACTACATGCAAGCGAGCGAAGAGGCCGGCGTTGGCGGCGCGGGCTACAGGCGGCGACGACGTCGCGCCCGGGAAGCGCACGCACTTCACCAGAACGAGGAGGACGGTGGCATTGTTGGGCGGCGGAGGGCCCGAACGATGGGATCCTGCTCGGTTATGTGACAAGGCATGGGAGTTGGATCTGGCATAGGCCGGCAATCAAAGCCCTTTTGACAGGCGTACCGGAGATTGGACGAGCCGATATTTTCATCATTTTTCTCGATTTTTTTCTTTGTGTTGGGACCCAGGATACGAGCGGAAAGACCCGTCAGCCAGCACCTGGGGTGTAAGAGGGGGAATCTGGGCACTGTCACTTTTTTTCTGGGGGCAATCAGTCACATCGGCGTCACGGTAGATCACGGGCATCAGGAACGCCAGCAGATGGATGTTGGACCGCGACTCGGGTCTGGAAATGATGGAGGGTAGCCGAGGAGGATCTCACTCGGCATGGCCTGGCTCACTTTGCTGGACATGGCGACATTTCAGTACGTATCTCGGCGAAATATTACCTCCCTAGGTACCTTGATCCGGGCTTCTGCAACACAGACTGTTGTCGTTGCTTTTGAGATGAAGGCTTACACGAGTCGTGGATCGCCTGTCGCCTAGGCGCAGTGACATGTTGACAGCGTCGGACGCGCAGCTCGCCAACTCCTTGAAACCACCACCACCACCACCGTCTCGCGGAAACGCGCTCATGACTTGGTCTGTGAATGACAGCCGCGCAGGCGCCCTGCATCCCCCGCATCCCGAGGCTAGGGGAGTCGCGATGCGACACTGGGCGCTGGACGGAGCTGCGGTTGTTCCAATAATAGAGACCATGCAGGACCCTACATATGCAATGGCACTGCCAATGCCCCCCAAGGGGCGTCTCTTGTCCTGTACTCCCTCCGTGCACGCGGTGCGAGTAAGGCACTGCAGCAGACGCGGTGTTGTTGGTGGCCGACTTGGCAGCATCAGGACAGGCGCCACCAGCAGCCAGCTGTGGGAAGCACAGGCGCGATGTGAGGCACTTACATGCGGGCCGCGATTCATGGATGAGATGGAGAGATAACGCGCCGGCACTGCTGCTGGGCATATAGGCGCGAGCGCAGGTGGGCTTTTGGCGGGGTGACGCCTTTGTTGGTGGCGACAAAGATTGCCGTACGGAGCAGACGGGGCTGGCTGCAGGTGGTTGGCACTCATGCGCTGTGCGGACTCCGGATTACAGCAATGTGCGAGCATGGCCCACGCTCAAGTGTGCAGGACTGACTATGGAGCGCGAGTCCGGTTACGGCACTCCGTAGTTTGACGATGGTCGAGGGACGGTATCGACGTGGGGTAATATGGGGCATGTGTTTTTACCTCGGGAGTCGGGCAAAGTCAGGCGCGTCGGCTGCCAAGCGCAAGGACAAGGTACCGACTCCAAAGAGAGGCAGGCCCGACGCGGCGGGAAGGAGCAGCCCAAACAACGGTACCTTGGCAGGCACGACAGAGCAGCGCGCTTTCTCATCAACGGGCATCTCGACTCTCCTCAATCCCGCCCCTCTCCCCTGGACTGCATCTTCACCTTTGCATCGTGCTGCCGGTCGATCTGCCCAGACTCGTCCCCCTTTCACCCACCCACTCACTCACTGCCGGGGAGCACGACGCCCGCACTCGTCCATCTGCACATAGCCCTCGCCGTCTTTCGCCACAATCTTCACCGCAGCGGCGGGACCTGGGCCGTTGCACACGGACGAACAAATCTCGCGCGCCGACGGCACTCATTCGTCGAGATTGCGGGCATGCCGCTGGAGAAAATCTACGTCACCCGCCACGGGGTAAGTGTCTGCCGGCCAGCCCAGGCCAGACCGGACGCCCGGCGGCGCTGGAGACGCTCTGTCCACGCCGCCGCAGGTGCACCCTACCGCGTGCACGAGTATTGACGCTTCCTATTGTCGTGGCTAGTTCCGCTCCAATTGGCTTGTCGACCCTGCTACGGGGGCCTACTATGCATACATCCCGTCACCAACAGGCATCCCCGCCGACCCAACACTCACCTCCCATGGGGTCAAGCAGTCACGGGAGTTGGCGAGACACCTCATGACTCTCAATCCGCCCATTGACGCAGTGTATTCAAGTCCCTTCTACCGTTGCCTGGAGACGCTGAAACCATTTGTCGACCTCGCCGGCCAGGCTCGCAGCCATGCTGAGTCGGATCACCCCGCCGGGGGCCTGACGGAGCACCCTCCAGGCGACCGCCATCCAGGGGAGCACCCGCCGGGGCGTCAGGAGGACTCTCTGCCCCTGTCCTGGCCTGGCGCCAACGTGGCCGCGAAGATTCGTCCCGAGCATGGCATCCAGGAGTGGTTTGGCTCCGCTCCGTTCGACCATCCCCGGCCAGCCACGACAGCTGTCCTCAAGTCGCTGTTTCCCGCGCTTGACGAGACATACCAGCCCGCAGTGGTACCCTCGGCGAGGGGCGAGACGTTGGCTGAGCTGCAGCTGCGCGTCGCCGTGGCGCTCAGAGCCATCATCGATAGGTGTGATGCCGATGGGACCCGCGCCGTCCTGCTATGCACCCACGCCGCCGTCGTTATCGTTTTGGGCCGTATTCTGACCGGCCAGGCGCCAGCCAGCGTCGAAGATGAGGATTTCTACGCCTACACCTGTGGGCTGAGCGTCTATAGTCGTCAGCCCTCTCTCTCGCGCGGACTCGGTGGCCTAGACCCTTCGCCAGCGTCATCAACGTCGCCTTCGGCAGTTCCAGGCATGTCCATCCCACTCCGTTGGTCCTCTTCTATGAAGAGAGAGCCCAGCTCCTTGACCCCGCTCCCTGTCTGACCAAGCACCAGTAGTGGAGACCGAATCGGCGAGTTTCATCGGGGGCTGGGACTGTGAACGCAACAGTGACTGCAGTTTCCTGAGCGGTGGTGCGGAGAGAGGATGGTACGTCCATGGCCTTGCTGGCTTCCCTGCCTCGGCATGCCCTGTTTTGCACATCCCCCCAGTCTCCTGGCCGTCAAAGCGGGGGTCACTCGCTCACTCATGAATGCTAATGTCATGACCTAGGAAATTCGCCGGGGACGAATCATTTCCAGGCACAGGGTCCCTGTCCCAAGGCGAGTCCAAACTATGATGCGGACCTGTACCCCGGACGACAGCTGGTGAAACCATTTGAGGCTCGGGCACTTCCTTGTAGTTTGAAGAAGACAGACAGAATCACCAGCCGTGACGCAGCATGTCGGCCCAAAGCAATCAAGGTCTTGAAGGCAGATCATACTGAAGAGGATCCACCAAGGGTCCTTCGGAGCCCAGAGACCAGACACGGTTCGGCGCACAGACCACGGGACGACGGTCGTCAAATTCTGTGCGGGAAACACTCGCTTGCTGCTCCTACCGTACGCCGCCACCCGTACAGTACGGAGTGGAGCAAAGCACGGCTGTGTCGCTATGGATCTCGTGGGAGATAGGAGTGAACAGCCCCCAACATCATCGCACGAATCGACTGCTCCACCGGCATCATTGGCTCGCATCACGTTGTTCGTGGACGCATTAGAGGGCCCCATGGATTTCGTGCTGCCTTCAGGTGCGGGACCAGCGCAGGAGCTTGTTGGGGGCGTGTCCAATGTCCCCCAACGCCCGACGGCTGTGAAGACAGGGTGTTGTCTCTCGACGCCTACAGGCACCCCAAGGCGAGTTAGGTGCTCGGAGTGGCCCTTGCACCGCGACCGTTTCCGACCCCGTGACTGTCCGTTGATGTCAACGGCAGATCTGGCTGCGACGGCAGGGGCGCCTGTCTGGACAACCCTGCAGCCACACGACTAGACGCCCTTTGAAAAGATGGGGTGCAGGAAACCCTTGATGGGGCTCCCATGGCCCGGGCGGCAGAGTAAGGCTACGTCCGGGCCGGCCTCTGTGAGGCACAACACGCCCGTGCATGCGGCTAGCTCCAGATGCCTGCAGAAAGTGCCGGCTCTGGGGCCAGAGTGCGCCTGTCCACCACGAGCGAGGGGACTTGGTGAGACCGCCCGGCGACCTCGTCAGTACAACCGTCGAGGAAGTTGAGCGTTTAATGAGCCCGCTTTACGTCTGCGAGCGAGCCCCACGAAGACACTGTCGGTGGACGGCAAGACGGCCACGGATGTTTTCGCTAGCGGTGGTGGCGAAGAGGACGACGACGCAGTGGAGTCTGTGGCTCGCCGAGATCACAGACGCCCTTCCACGATGTGATGTGCGATTACCGTCGCCCTTGCTTTTGATGTTTCAGGCCTCCTGCCGTACCTTGCATCGAGGTCACGATGCTCCGTCCGGATGGCATCCACTTGATGGGACACACAGACGAGATGCTGACCATGACTCAATATCCGGGTCGCGGCCGAAACGTGGTATACGGACGCGCTGCGACGGATGCGCGGGCGCCTCCAGGCCAGAGCTCCCAGCGGAAGTGCAGCAGCAGACGGCGGCACAGCTCTGCCAAGACGCGCTTGTTCGGGTTGCATGCGATCTCATGCGGGAGACGAGTGACAAAGATAGACGAAGAGCTTGGAGCTCTCGATAATGACCTTATGCGGCACATGGTGTTCAGCATGTCACTGGTAATTCCTACGTGCGTATCCGGGAGATTGGTGCTGGGCCATGGCGCGCGGCACGACTTTTGCTTTGTGTGTTTGCTTGGCAGCGGTTGGTTTTCAAACCATTCGGCTGGAGCCTCGATGAGCAGAGATGGCGCGCGAGGCCCAACACGTCAGCGGCATGGGGCTGATGCACAGGGTCAGAGGCAGGCAGGCATGCAGGCGAGGCGAGGCAAGCGGGTTTACTTTTCGAGAGTGGTGACGAGGCCGTTGAAGCCGTAAGACAGGCCGGACGCTGATGACTACGACGTCTTTGGCATCGCCGCAGACCGAGGGACAGAGTCTTGCCACTAGTACGGGCGTTCCTGCATAATAAACAAGCAAAGAAGAGACGGCGGAGCCAGCGAGTGGCGTGGCACGTCCGTCCGCCTGTCGATGCGCGAGGGATGGGCTGTGGAGGCGTGGAGGCGCAGACGGGGTCGTTGCGCCGAGCCAGAGAGAGGCCGAGCCGGACCCGGGGGTGGCGAGAGTCCGTGAGCCATGTTTAATTGCGCCGTCTTTGATTTCTTCGAGCGCTCGCTGCTCGGTCGGTTCTGCTTGGCGGGAAAAGCAACGTGATGGGCGGCAGGCGTCGGATAGGGACGATCTGATCTGGGGGAGGAGCCTCCCTGCCGCTGGTGTGGTGGTGGTGGTGGTGGTTGTCCACCTACATGGGTGTGGTGGGCATGGCAATGGGGGTGCCGCAGCTCGTCGGCGGCGACGACCAGCCCAGGCCATGCCACGCCGCGCGAGCGTGCAGACACTGTGTTTGTGCCATATTAAGCACCGAGCAGGAGGACGTGGGGTACAATAGCTTGGGCATGCACGTTGGGTCTGGCGCTCGTTGATGCCACGAGCAAAGTGAGGTTGTCGTGCCCGAACTGTATGGACGGGGCCCAATGACTGCATGGAGTGCGGAGAACGGAGCACGCAAGTATAGAGTATAGCAGCTAATAAGGTCGTGGACTCGTGGGCAGGTAAAGTAAAGCGCAGCCAGGGCTCACCAACTGCATATGTATGGCTTCTGCATGCTCATGACTTTTCGAACGAGTGCCGCCCCTGCCAAAAAGACACGACGCTACGAATCTGGCAAGGCGGCGGGCCGCGTCTAAGAGTGCCCGATTGGCTCTTCTGCCGCCTCCCGGGACGTCGCGTTACACGGCATGGGCGGGAGTTGGGGCTGCCGTGATAGCCGCGTTCGACTTTTACATGGTCCGGGGGGCCGGGGGGAGGCCAGGATGGGGAGCCTCCTTGCAAATGTCTAGAATCTAGAGTCTTGGTGGGATCGCGGCATACACGACTGTACTGAACGCGAACATTATGGATGGAGCGATTGGCATTGTCCGGGACCGGCACCAGGGCAGGGCAGGAGGAGGGCGAGAACGACAAGAGAGAGGAGAAGAGAGGATCTGCGCGCTCGTATCGTGGAAGTGAGCAAGGCAGGGGGGATGCTCGGCGCCACCGTAGATGAGCGCGACCGAACCTGACAATATTGAGAGAGAAAAAGAGAGAGCGGAAGATGCCATCGCCGGGACAAGAGCTGATGCCCACTGCAGTTCCTCACCGTCGACGGGGCCGGCAGTGCACTGACATTAGTACCCAGAGAATATTACACCGGCAAACCGGCGGGCACCTCAGCTGAAGCACGAGGTACCTCGAGCGGCCGCGAAATAAGGAAAAAATACTACTGGAGCCTAGCACGCAGGTACCTGGTTCCTTGGGTTGCGACTTCCCAGATTGGTGATGGATGGACGCGCACTGACGGGCAGGCAGGGGCGACCGAGGACGAGTGGCAAGAGCGGGCAATGGTCGATGATTGATTGATGATTGATGATTGATGAGCGCCGAAAAGGAAGCAACGATGGAGGGCGTCCTTGGAGTTGCTGACGGAGGAATTACGGTATTGGTGGTGGCCGCTGAGAGATGCGCGCCTTCCTCATCATTGAGCCCTGGACAATGGACCACTATGCTGTAAGTCCAGATAGGTGTGCTCGTAACTCGCACAATCAATCACCTTCACCCTCGTCCATCAAATTCACTCGCTCAGACGCGAAATCGACCCGCCGTTCGCCATCGTCGAACATGCTGGCCCATGCCAATCGCTCGCGGTCGTTCGCCTGCCCTGGCCTGCCCTGGCCTGGGACCGCCCGCCCGTCCGCCCACCTCCCTTCATGTCGTCGTCAACCGCCACCACCCCCAACTTTGACGACCCCTCTTGTCGGTCCCGAAAAAGCAAACTGGTTAGCAGGGGGAGCTCCAGCAGCATCAGCATCATCATCGTTGCGTCCCCCCTCTCACCCGCATGCAAGCTCACGCACGCGTGCATGCACGCGCACACACGCAATCGCGCTCCAGTCCGTCCGTCGCTCTCCAGTGTTGGTCGTCCCAACTCCTGCCCCTCTTCTCTCTTCTCCGCTCGTGGCTCCGTGACTGTGCGCTGCTGTAAGTGCAGCCAGCCACGGCCTCTCGAGCGGTTGCCCACTGATGATGGGTGGATGTGTCCGCGGGGGGGGGGGGCCTCCACGCGCACCAGCAGCGGCATCCGCAGCAGAGGCGGTATCAGCTGGGACGAGGGTCGACGGGGACCCATACACACGCACACAGATACACACCATCGTCACCAGCAGCCATGGCCAAAGATAGGTGCCTGCCTGCAGCCACCGTCTGGTAAGTGGCTGGCCAGCGACCGCCCGCCCTTGGTGCCACGCCATCGACAATACGGCACCGAACCCGCGCCTGGACGGGGACTTTGCTCTTCTGGCAGTGTACGTGGGCAAGGCCGAGGGCCGACGGACACCGCCAGCGCCCCCAAAGCTCGCTGCTTTGTTCCTTTCGTGGCCCCGTATGTCCCCGGCCAGCTCCCTCCCGCCTGTTGGCAGCCCTACCAACAGTCGCAGAATCCAGCATTTTGCCCTCCACCAACAACAACACGAAGGGCAGGATGACCTCAGGGATAACCCCTTGCCCCAGCCCAGGCGTGCCGCCGTGCCATGGCCACGGGGTAGGGCAGGGCTCATCCCGCCCAATGATGGGCACACTCCTTTCTTTTCCGTCAGAGTTTTCACACCTCTGCCGCGCCGAAACTGGCCTCGTGGTCGCTAACAGTGCCCATGGTGCCGCCTCCCCCAGCGAGTTGGCGGGCACCGTCGACGCCGTTATTGCTTCGCTCCAGGCACGCAGAAGCTAGCCGACGCCCCTGGTGGACGAAAAAGAAATCCCCCTTCAGAGCCCGCCCGCAACCACGGTACTCGGCCGGGCGGCGCAGACCGTTGTCGAGGGCTCTCTGCCCGTCGTACCCAGTTATTAGGCCGATGGAGAGGTCCCTGCCCCCGACGTTCATCAGGCCCGAGTAACAGGTCAGATGTCTTTGTTTTTTCCCCTAATCATGGCTACTACGGTTCAGCACAGTAGAGCGCCCTGCAAGGCTTTCATCATGTCGCCTCTCTCTGCAATGCCGATCGCGCCGCGCATCGACATGAAGCGAAAGCCGTCGCCGACCTGCTGAGTTGTCGGCATTCGCCCTGGCCACTGCGCCAGAGGCGTCGCGCGTGCTGCTGCAAGCCCTCGCCGCCGACGCCGCCGACGCCGCCGTTGCTGCTCCCGTAGAGCATGGCGCCGCACGTTTGCTTCTATAATTACGGCGAGAGGCGTCTTGCTGGGCCGTGTCTAGTTGCAGCTCTCTGAGTGCTTGGGCCAAGAGCTAAACCGTCCGCCACGGTGCCTCGAACGACGGGGCAGTCGCAAAGCCAAATGACGCCCCGTTCCAGGCAGACAAGCAATTTTGAGCGGTCCGGTACCACTGCTTGCCCTTGACTCTATCCCGAGCGTTTTGATACGACTCGTGTCGGCAGGCCAGGCTGGCGTGCTGTCTGTGGTGTGCTGTGGTGTGCTTTGGCGTGCTTTGCTTGGGTCGAGGCCCCCGCCCCCAGACCAGCAATAGGGAACCATTGTTCTCGCAGCGGCTTACAGAGAGTCCCGAGGCAGCGGGAACCCCGGCATATGGCACATCGCGGAGACACCCCCAGCTCCGTGGCGGAGGGCCCGATGATTGCCCGGCCGGGGCCCTGTGTCAAAGTATGCAATGCATGTCCGCCTGTCGTTTCGCGGCTGCTGGTGCTGACTCTGGCGCAGCCGGGTCTCGTGCCCGTGCTCCTGCTGTTAGGAGCTCTGCTCTCAAGAGGTCGCGAGTCGTCGACGACGTCGATGCGAAGGCGGTGCCGCTGGGTGCCACGGATCGTCTTGTCAACTCTGTCAACAACACGAGGGCTGCCCGCGGCGCAACGTCATGGAGGCGACCCCAGTGACGCTCGGCGCACGACGGCGTGGAGCGAGGGAGGCGGTCCTGTTGTTGGCCGGCGGGCCGTGCGACTTGTGAGTCTTCAGGATCGTTTTCGGCCAGAGATGAGATGATCGGTTGTCCCTTGCTTGCAGAGGGCTCCGTACCCCGTCGCCTAGTGCACTACGGCCACGGAGGGAGGGAGGCTTGGGAGGGCCAGACGGACGCCGTTCGCGCGTGGCTGCTGCCAATTCTGGCCGGCTCTTCGCAGCCCAGAGTGCGCCATGCCGCCCAACAACAGACGGACACAATTCGCATTCAGGCAAGAGAGTCTATTGTCTCCCCCCATCCCCCCCTTCGCGCAGATGGCTACCCCGCCACTAACCAGATAGAGACCAGATGGAGTGGCGCTCGACGTCGAAGTGGCTGGCCGTGGAGCTGAGATGAAGCAGACAGACGCGACGGACCTGCTTTGCTCGCTGCTCTTGCGACCGCCGCTCTGCACGGCATACTTCGTAGCCAGCCACGCTGCGCAACGACGTACTCGTGCGCAGGCGGCTCATCCATATGTGCATGCAGAGCACGGGCTGGGCAAAGCAACGCTGGCCGAGGGCCTCACCCCGCCCAGTGCTTCTTTGTCTCTCGCCCGCCGCAGGTACCGTTTCTGTCGATTTCTGCACGACGGCCCACCGTTGCTTCTGTCTGTCTGCCTGCCCTCGTCGTCGCCCTCACCCTCACTAGGGCCACGCCGTGATGTCTTTCTTTGTTGGTCGTGCCGACAGACTGGAGCTGCCCAACTGCCAACCGCGAGCAGGGGTGGCACACGGACCCCCCTCCAGCCAAAAGTCAAGACAACAATCAATCGCGCAGCCCTCTTTGCCGACTTTATCATGTTGATTCAGGTACGTACATACAGCAGGTACTGTGCCTGCATGTACTCTGCTGTACTGTACGGCGCCGGGGCAGCAAAAGAAGAAACACGGTGCATTAGCAGCCCGGCCGGACACCTCTTGCTCTTGTCAACCGCCAGGGTCTCGACGCCGCGCCCGACAGATACAAGAACAGAACCACCCCTCGTCGCCTCCCTCTAATCGCTGGCTACCTATTTTGTGTCATCCCGTTGCCACCAACCTGTAAGCGGCCGTTGCCTCGCGTGCTCGTCGCGTTCATCGTCACCCTTGGGCATCTCCCTCGTTACTTAACCCACATCCTCCCTCTCTGCCTCTTGCTCCTCGAGCTCTCCCTCTCTTGCTCTGCAGTGCTCTGTCCCTATTCGGATCCGTATCGAGCGTGAGCAGAAGCATTCAGCCGTGACCTCGAGCTTCTGTCTTATACGCCCACTCAAGGGAGTCAACGGCAACCACCACCACCACCACCACCACCACAATGATGTACCCGACAACACTGGACCAAGGCGGGGTCTCACCAACTACCGCTGGCAGGATGGGCATCAAGGCAATCACACACTCGGAGAGCCTGCCTCCTCGGAGAAGCCTTTCCAGCGACCTGCCCTCCCTCTCCTTCCACCGGTCCTTGATCCACCCGCAGACACCACCCGAGTCTACCTCGGGCAGCCCACGGTTAAAGATTGAGGGTATGGCCTCTCCTTCCCAGTTCTTTGTTAGCTTGTCTGGACGCGAGGCTCATGACCCTATTTCAGCCTCGTCGCTCTCGGGCATCTCGCGGGATTGCTCCCCTCTCCCCGGCATCGCCCGCCTTAGCTCGCCCACCAACCCCGTCTCCGTCAGACTCCCTAGCCTCGAGGAGTTCGATCAAGGTGTAGAAGCTCTCGCCAGGTCCCATGGCCCGGCCCGGCCTTATACGCCGCCTTCGCCTCTTCCCAGCCTCGGCCGAGGGCCCGTCCTCCCTCATCCCATGCCGGCTCTCCATGGATACGCGCCGCACGAGACGTATTCCGCCTACCACCACCACGATCCGTTCATGCACGGCTCGGCAAGCATGGATGGCTACCCCAGCCCGCCCCCAGATGGCGAGAACCGACACATCAATCAAAAGTACACGACTGAGGAGGGCGACTTCATCATCTACGCCTGGCACGACAAGAAGCTCAAGTGGCAGCGCATCAAGCAGGACTTTGCCGCGATGTTTGGAAGGACGCCGGAGCGGACGGTACAGGGCCTGCAAGCCTGGTACTACCGCATGAACCAGCGCATCCCGCTCTGGGACCAGGACGGCTGGCTGATTTTCGACAACGAGGACGACCTCGAGCCCAAGTACATCAGCATCAAGTGCCGAGAGAGAGATAGCCAGGACAAGCCCATGGAGCCCCTCGGCCTGGCCCAGCGATATCCTGAGCGTGCACTTCACTACTCTTGGGTCGACCCGGAGCTGAAGCGCAAGTGCCAAGACTGGGGTGAGTGACTGTCGAGTCCGATACCGACAGCAAAACGCATATGCTAACTGATACCTTCAGCTGCGAAGCGATCTATGCAGTACCGGGAACGCCGGGAACGCAGAAAGAGAAAGGAGCAGCGACGGCTCAAGCTCTAAGCGGGACAGCCACGCATCCTTTCACTCCACCCTTTCCCTGGCCATAAGGCGACGAGTTACTGAAATGACTTGCTTGCAATTCGACGCGAGCGCAAGACGACACCGCGAACTTACTGTATAATACTTGCACGTTTGCGTTCAGACGCTTACGTTTCTTTTCACTTTTCTTCTACCTTTCTCTTTTCAGCATCAGATATCCTTACCTTTCCTATGTGATGGGAGAGCACGGCTTGATGAGACGCGGACACATAACGAGTGTGATGCGGACCAAACTTTTTATGTTGGTATTGTGGATTTTCTGCGGTCGGGTGCGAGGAGCTCTCCAGGGACGCCCGGGACAACAGATTCGCTTAAGGCCCGGACAAGCTACCGTCCCTGACGAGATGGCTCTCCTCGTCACTTCGACCTTGTGTACTATTACTGAGTTGAGAGAGGAAGGACCCGCGGGGTGCAGAAACTCGCGGGGACCGTGGGTGCGGTGGCCTCCCCCACCGCCACCACAAGCAAAAAGCATATTGAAGACGGGGCATGAAGCACGACGTTCTAGATGGGATGACGGAACCGGTTGGTTGGCTGCTTTTTGGATGTGTTCGAGAGCATGTTGCCTGCTTCTGCAGACTGGAGGGAGAAACGGGCGGCAGGTAGGGTTCTGGGCCCTTCACCTTTGCCGACCCCCAAGCATATGGCGTGTACAATAGAGCGAAGACGACGAAAAAGAAGCATTGATTACAACGCGGTCAAGGCGGCATGTGCCGGGTGGAGTTGGCGGGCTCGCCGATCATGGCAGAGCGGCGGCTGTCCGAGTGCCGTGCGTTTGCCGTGCGAAGCGGTGTCGCGATGAGACGCAGGGGAGATACATACCGCCTTCTCTCTGCTCTTCTCCGCCTTTCTCTTACTCTTGACGTCTCTCTCGGTCCCGCCTCCCCATCACTCTCAGTCTCCAGCTTTTCCTAGGCCCCACGTGCTCCCCCCTTATCCCCCGCCCTCTCCTCCCCTCCCCCATTCTTCGTCGTCCTCAACCGCCTTTGCCGCAAGACCAAGGCGTGCGCGGGGCTGGGCTGGGCTGAGGGGGAAGGGACGCGGGGCGGAGATGGGGGCAGCGGCGGGGGGCGCGCGCAAAGGGAAACGACCCTCCCGCGAAAAAAGGGGAGGAGGAGGGGGGGCGTGCACGTACGCACAAAGGGGAACAAGGCGGCGGCGGCGGCGTGGTGGTGATGCCCAGCCTTTCCTTCTTTCTTTCTTGGGCTGGGCTGGGGCAGGGCTGAGATGGGCAAACGCGGAGCGTGTCAAAGGAAAAATGTAAGAGGTGAAAGAAAGAGGAGGAGCAAGGAGGAGGAAGGGGGGGCCGGAGCGCGTCTGTCTGTTCCCCGGGGGGGCCGCCAGGAGGAGGGAAGAAGGTGGGGAGGAGTGGGCGGCTGTCGTGCAGCAGCGGCGACGACGGACGGCAGTCAGGCAGTACGATGACATGGAACTGACCTGACTGACGGCAGGATACTCGGGGAGACGTTGGGAGGGGAAGGGAGCGGTGGCGAAGGAGGGAGGGGCGTGAGCGTGAGCTGGAAAGATGGACATGAGAACGAATGATACAGTACAGTACAGTACAGTACTGTATGCCCAACGTGTTCTTTGTTTTGCTGTTCAGCGCCTAGAGGAGGGAGGACATGGTAGAGCCCGGCTAAGACGACGACGACGACGACGACGATGCCGACTCGCCTTCCGTTCGTACATACGAATATACATACGTACATACCTACGTGGGGGAACAGACACAACACGTACACTTTTGGACAAACTACGCGCATCATGTACAGTACTGCGGCATCGAACGGCTCACACCACCGTCCAAAAGCACGCCATCGCAAGTACCGTACCGTACCGTACCGTAACAACGCAAATATTGTACGGCAAAGACAACGGGTGCGCAGGGGAAGGGGGAGGGCCAGGCACTGGGGATAGTACAGTATAACCTCTTAGACAAGAGCGAGAGCAGAAAATTTCAACCCAGCGTTGGGGATTTCCCACGTTGGTCGTCTGTGTGTACGACAGACAGCACATACGTACAAATATCGAAGCGGACGCGTAGAAAAGAGGTCATAGCCACCACCGGAACGGATACGTGGGTAGTTGGGTAGTTAGCCGGTTAGGTCAGTTAAGCCGGAGCGGCCAGATACCAGAGAGAGACACACACACACACACACACACACACACACACACACACACACACACACACACACACACACACACACACACACACAACAGGGCCGCTCGGTGGTTTAGTTGATTGGCCTAATCTTGGGGAACAAGAGAAGGACAGGACGCCCGACGATGAGGTGGTGCAGATCTCTAGAGAAGGGGAACGGGCGACTACCTGCTGCAGACGACGGCGACGACGACGACGACGTGGCGGGAACGGAAAATTCGGGGGGTTCGGGCGCACGGCGGTGCTCGGATACCTTTTGGTGTGCGGCCTTGTCAGCCGCTGTTATGTACGTATGCACTCACTTTCCTCTTCACCTCGCTCAGCTGCTACTGTACCTAACATGGCCGGGCCTAGAGCGACTGCTCCCTTATCATTTGGGCTGAGAGATTGTCCTCATGAGAGGGCTGCTTCAGGAGAGCGAGGGAGTAGCAGCCAGAAAGTATACGGTACAGGAAAGTGCACGTTTTCGCAAGAGTTCGGCGTCCGAACGAGTCACTTACTACCATCTGACCTTGTATGTGCGCCTCTTGTGACATGGACGACCGAAAAACTAACTGATGGCGCCTTAGGGGAGCTGATACTCGTCCATCGCCTCGCCACCTGCGGTTTCCTAGTCTCCGCTACCATCGCGTCGGCCGACGATGCACGCCGGCAGTCAACCATCCACCGCTTGTGGCGGCTGCCAGAGAACCCTCGAGGCATACCGCGTCCTTTGCCCTCCCTCACCCTGAGCGTCGGCCCGCCCGCCTCAAATCGCGCTGCAGACAGATCATCAACGTTGGACGCCCGGTCTCATAGAGATACATGCATGCTTCTGATGCGGGGCAAACAAAGGAGGAGAGTGGCTGAGCAAGGTAATTGGGCCACCGAGGGCCTTCAACCGCCTCGTGTACATGGCTACACGGCCTCGGCCTCTCAACAGCCGCCCGCACAAGTCCATTCACGTTGCGCGACTTGGCACACCGAAGAATGCAGAGGGGGGGCGTGTTCTGTGGCTGGGCACAGTCGTTGGCTCTCATGTGAGAGCCGTGGCGATGCATGCACATGCATGCAGGCATGTAGGGTCTGCAAGCGCGTATGTACAGGTGCATTTGCTGTTGGGCCATGACGGATGACGGCCCAATGTTTGTCACGCTCGCAACGGAGGCGACACGCGCGATGACAAAAGGGCCTATTCGGGAGAAGTCAGGGAAAGGCTGAATGGCGTTTCATGTACGCCCGGATGCGGGCCATGCGGACGTCATCGTCGTCATCGTCATTGCCCTTCAGCCTGATATCCTCGTCATCGTCATCGTCTCCGTCGCTGTAGTGTGCGTTGTCAAACTCCTCCTCGTCCGAGGCATTAGTGTTGCGGTAGAGATAGGCGTGGCGTCCAAACTCATCGTCTGAGTCAACTTCATCCTCAGGGTAATCCGCCGTGTAGTGGTTCTCAGCTGTCGGGACACGTTAGTTGGAAAAGGGCCAGAGCGGTTGGCCTATGCCCGCATGCCACAGGAGGACTTACCGTTCTCATCCTCGTCTTCTTCATCGGCATCATCGTCATCCTCCGGCAACGGACCGAACAAGAGGGCACTATCCTCGTCGTCCGCTAGGTCCAGAACGCCTATATCTGTAGCCGGCACGTCCATGGATATGGTCAACGCAGGGACTCGGACATATTCCTCAATGACCCAGTCGTCGTCGTCCTCCTCGGCGTCGTCGTCACTAGCATCAGTCATGGTGACGTCTGTTGACTCGCCGACCTGAGTATGAGAAGTCTGTGCAAACTCCGGATGCCGTTCGTGAAACCTCTTTGCCGGGGCTTTGGGCTTGAATCTGGGTTTTTGGGCCAGCTGCTTGTCCTGCTCCATGCCGTGGAGGTTTGCACCGATCTCGTCCAGGACCCATCGGTCCATGTCTGCCGCGATCTTATCCATGTTGCCATGTTGTCTGTTTCTGATGGACTCTGGAAGCGGCCTGTGTGTCGGGCCATCTTTTTGGGAGTCCGCCGTGGCCTTCTTTTTGACACCCGGGCGCTTCAAATCCTTCTGTTGGACATCACCAGTCGGTCCATCGGTGGACGGAGGAGCCGTCACTGGCTGTGCCGCGGTTTCATGCAGCACTGCAAGACTCTTGCGAGCCAACTTTTTTCTTCTGGTCCCTTCCACAAAAACGGCGGGCGCATACCGGTCCCGCTTGGAGACGCCGGCATTCTGGACCTGACTCTTGCCAGCGGACAGGGTCGCCGAGCGCGAGACTCGAAAGCGGCGCGGCTCCGCCAAAGCGGGTTGGCCGGGTGAATGGCCGGCCACAGCCTCGCCAGAAGCCGACTGGCCAGCTACGGTCGAGTCGAGAGAGTGACGCACGCCTTGGTGCTTCTTGGTTGGGGGTGAGGCATCTTCTGGCCGGGATACGTGGATGACGGGCTTGTCGGCGCGGACGGGCTCAGCGGTTGGCTCTCGCCGCTGATAAGCCCAGGTACCACTGCGATGGCGTTTCTGAGAGGCATCGAATTCTGTGAGAGAAGTCAGTCGGGCTGCGTGTGCGGTGAAACCAACAGAAGTAGGCCTTACGTAGAAACTGGACTGGTGCCTCTTCGACCCTCTTGCGTTTGACACGGATGAGCTGCGGGGGGATGGACATGGCAGAGGCGGCGCAGGCAGGGCAATGATGCCCCGTTCAAGTTTGCTGTACCTACAGCCTCGGAATTGATGCCGTAAGAATGAAGAGCCGAGCTGCTTGCGGATGGTCGTGGGATGAGGTTTGGTGGTTGATGGATGTTTGACGGCGTTTTCCAGAAGCCGATGGATCAGTGACGCCTGCGGGGCTGATAGCTGCGACTGTTGCAATGCGGCAAGTGGGGCGAGCGACAAACAATAGATAAAGTATAGAGTACATAATTCAGCACATTGCAACCCGGCTTGTTGCGGTACGTAGTACTTACCAAAGCAGCGCGCTGGGTTCTCCTTCGCTGGAGCTGTCCCTGTCTCCATTGCACGAAGTGCTGCAGGCTCGGGCAGGCGCGACCCTTCAGCATCAGATAAGATATGGCAAGACACTCGAGCCATCCTGCTAGCTGTCTGTTGTCGATATCTTCCCTCCTTCACCCGGCGTTCTAGCGGCTTTTTGACAACGACTGTTCAGGAAGACAGGTCGGACATGCCTCCGGACCAACGAACCTTGGCCGACCAAAGCTGGAGTTGCTCAAGGGCGCCACAGACGTTAACGGCAGGTCGGGAGCTGGCTCCCTTCTTTGGAAGCATTTCACCAACATGCAGCGACCAGCTCGTCTCCTCAGAGTCTAGGCCCGTTGCCGAGCTCCGCAAGAATCGCCGCCGCACCCCGGAAGACTCTGGCAGGCCCCCAACGACAGCCCGCGCAAACAAGCTCTGGCCGGATGGACGCCACGAACCTAGTTGGACCCAAGTGCCAGCGAGGCGAGGCGGCCGTTGGGCATCACACCACCACCAGCGGCCCTTCGGGTAATCGGGGTACCTGCTGCCGCCCACGAATCGTCACCGAGACTCAGGTCTCTCGCCAACCATGACTTTCCCCGGCCGCCAACCGCCTTCTGCCGCGCCGCAAGCTACTCCGAAGCGTACTGCTACGTAAGTAGGTAGCCAGCTTTCGCCTCGCCTTCACGTGCGCCCCGTCCAATGCCGTGCCTTCCCTAGCGGAGCATGGCTCAAGCTGTCGTCATAAGAGTGCGGAGGCGCGTCTCGATGCCTCTGCCTCCTCCATCTCGCTGCAGACAATCGAACACTTGCAACCTGGAACCTGCCTGCCTGGGGTATGAGTAGAGTTCACACACGCGCGCGCGCACGCCTCGCCACCCGCATCCAAGGCACAGCTGCCCGGGCTGGGCGCTGAACGTGTAAGCCCGTCACCGAGATCCGTGGCGCTATCAACGCTTTCACTCCCACCACGCTCCTCCGAATCGACCTCACCGTTGAACCCCCCGACAGCCCTGCATACGGCACATCGCCGCCATGGCCACACATCCGGCCCTCGTCACCATCAGCTTCCGGCAACCAGGCACCCAGCCTCCCGTTTTCGTGGCGGGATCTTTCTCAGACCCTCCCTGGCAGCTGCGCCAGATGCAGTGCACCAGGCTCGACGCCGGGGAGAATCATTTCACCGTCCAAGTGCCGGTCCAGCCTGGCCAGGAATACGCCTACAAGTTCAAGGTCGGGGATGGTAGCGACTGGGTCCTAGACAAGCACGCGAGTATCTGTAAGTCCCTTTCGCGACGTTCCCGCCCGCAGTGGAGATGATTTGACCGTATTCTTGTCTAGCCACGCAAAGTGACGGAAGCGAGGCCAATGTCCTCAAGGTGCCGGGCGTCACCGACACATCGACCGGCTCGCTTCAGGCACCACTCGAGGCCACCGAGAGGAAGGGGGGCTCATCACCCCATCCAGGCTTGCGAGGCACACTTGCGGGCTCCTCGTCCGGCCCAGCCAAATCGCACCTCTCTAAGACGCTGAATGTCGAAACGCAAGCACAGCGCGAAGGATCCCGAACCCCAATCGAAATTGTAGCGAAAACGGCAGCCGAGGTCGCAGACACTGCCGCCCAGCTTGACGACGTGAGCGACGACATCCCGGCCCGGAACACTCGCTAATTATCAATTCGCTGATGATTGTGTCCAGCTGGAGTCCACTGCGCCGGATGGCTCTGGCACGACCCAAGGCCAAGGCGATTTGGCCGGAGACGATGGTGCTGACCTCAAAACACCCCTTTTCGCGCACGAATGTTTTGGAGCGTACGAGTTTGTCGACGATGGGCTTGACCATCACGAGGTGTCGGACAAGGTCCCCAAGAGCATGGACCACGGACTGTCACTGAGCGACTATGAGACGGACAGAATCGATCCTGGTGACCCGACGCTTGAGCGGTTTCCCTCCGACAAGTCTTCGGTTATGGACACGCTGCGCAAGATTCAGTCCTGCACCGACGAACACCGACTCCATCTCGAGGACCTGTCGATAGATCCCCGTGCTTCCCGCCGTACCAGCGTCGACTCGTCGGACGAGACTGCCTCGATGGGGTCGCTGAGCCCGACGTCGACGCGCAGGAGGGAAAATCGGCTGTCTCACAGCAGCTTTGGCCACACCAAGTCTGCATTGTCCTTGGGATCTATCGCGGAGGAGCCAAAAACAGGAGAAAACGGCTCGAGCAAATCGCAACACGTACAAAAGGCAATGGGCCTGGCAGTATACGACCAAGCAGTAACGCCTCCGACCGACGATGATGAAGCATTGACAATGAAAGTCTGATGCTGCATTGGAGGTGGAAGCTGGCTATATGTGTTTCTTGAGGTTACGGTGCCATTCATTCATCATAGGCTTGGAGCATAGGATGGGACTGCTGGCCGGTGGCAGGTTGCCCTTTTGACATGTACGTAAATAGCGACCCTAACCCTCTCATCACCTCGTTGCTCAGCCTGGAGTATGGGTCAAGAGCCAGGCATGGAAAAATCAAGGCTCTACTGCTTCATTCATCGAGTCCGTGGATGAGATCTGTTTCACGATTCCATGTTGTAGATGTGCCTCGAACCTGATGGGCAAGATATGGTGCGAGCCCACGTGGATCGAGGTGATCTGGCATCCGAAGCTTCACGTGATGCATGTACAAGAGCGCATGGGCATTTTCGATCTGGATCCGTCGCCCTCAAGATGTCCGCGGGACTTACCAAGTGGGTATCAATTTAATGTTGAATTCACCAAGCTTTCGACCGACGCACGTACTGCTGGTAGCGCGTATGCCGCGTACTACAGGTAATATATAGGTACCAAACAACCGCGCTTTTTCTGGTGATAAGACAGCAGGTCAATGACATCTTCAGCGACATGGCCTTGAATAATTATGGCAGCGCTTCGACTGCCAGGAATGGCCCTTGAATCAACCTTGCAACGAAAACCCGACGTCTCCCGCGTCTTGTCCCATTTTGACGAGGTTAGCTCGCATGTGCTCCGCCAACTCCTTTTCGTGGCCCTCGAGGGCATCAAAGTTGAGGCGGTCAATCCAGTTGCGGAGCCCGTGCTGGAGGACGTTCCTCGCGCGCAGCTTGGCGCCGTCGACATGGCCGGCGCTGCCGTGGAGGGTCATGCGCTCGACCTTGGAGTCATACACACCCCGGTGGAGGATGTTGTTGTTGTAGAAGACGATGTCGCCGGGCTCCATCTTGACGACCAGCTGGTCGGGCAGGACCTTTTCGTAGGGGTCGGCGTGGCGCTCCGTGTCGGTCCGCGCGCGGCGGTGCGAGCCCGGGACCACGACGAGGCTGGAGTCTTCGTAGAGGGCGAGGTTCCATTGCGCGGAGAAGGCGGGCTTGTTGAGGCGGTCGAGCTCCTCCTCGGCGGTGGCGGTGGCAGGTATGTCGTCGCGGTGCCAGCGCAGCTCGAAGTCGTAGTCCGGGCGGACGAGCAGGTTGAAGAGCTCCATGACGAGGTCGTCGCGGGAGCACTGCAGCAGCTCGAGGGTCGGGGCGACGATGGCGTCGGAGAAGTAGACGCGGACGAAGTCGGGCTGGTGCGGCATGTCCGGGTGCATGACGCCCTGGACGCCCCAGATGCCCTCGGCGGCCGGGTTGGGCCCGTCGACCTTCCACGGAGGGAACTGCTTGGGGAGCGTCCGCACGTCGGGCCAGTTGCCGCGGCGGGCGTTGGCGGTGGCGTCCTGCGTGGCCCGGCGGAGCGTCTCGAGGGCCTCGCCGGTGAAGGCGCCGGGCACGAGGACGAAGCCGTCGCGGTTGAGCCGCTCGAGGAGACTCATGGCTCGCGGCTGACTCTGAGGAGGGACGTGTGCTGAAGGCTGATAAGTCACAGTTGAGTTGTCAACGAATGGCATTTGCATGTAGTGAGGGGAGTATTAAGCCGACGGATGGTGAGCAAGGAGACTCGCTTATGTGTGGGAAACGGCCTGATGCGGGGAAGGCCGGTCTTATAGCAAATGCACGAGGCTCATCGTCTGAAGGAATCCGTTCATGGCACGTTACCTCGTATAATCGCGACGGGCTTGGCACCTGTGGCCATCTCGCCGGCCGCAAGAAGCGGCACGGTCATCCATCGTACCACGGCATGATGCGATTCGCATGTGCCTCAGCCCGAGTCGCATGGCTGGCTACATAAATGCGCCGGCGGTGGAGTTTGCTCACTGTAAGCTACTAGACGGGCGCTGCTCTCCCTGTCCGCCAGTCTCGAGTGCGTTGCGCTGGGGAAATTTGCTCGGAAAATTGGAGCACGTATGCATCCAACAGCGTATCTCGGCATTCGGACGATGACTTGCCCAGATTGTCTCTGTCAAGGAGCTGCAGTCTCCCCACGGGTTCGCGATGCTGAGTTACGGATTACATGGCCAAGGCAAGAGACATGGAACAGCGCCGCATCCACAATGCGACCGCAAATGGAATCCACCCACCCACCCCGGCGGGTCGGCGGGCAGCAACCGCGGACCCGCTTCGCGCCTGCCAATGAGTGAATGACGTTGCCCGCCAGAGAAAAAAAGTCCCCTGGCGCATTTCTGGGGAAGAGAGAGAAGCTTCCTCAACCTCACGTCCCTCCGGCCAGCCAACGTTTCCCGCGATGCCTCCCATGGCACCCGCAAACTCCATATGCTCTCTGTGCATATTTGCACTGGGGCGCCGTCCGGTCCCTCGGGCAATCGTACAGCAGCCATGCCTCAGCCAGCGCTTCCTCTCTCGGCAAGCCAAGCCCAGGCCGTCGCGCATGGTTCTCTCCGACCAGGTCCATCGCACTCCGACATCTCGCGACGATCGCCGGTCACGACAGAGGTCGGTCGATGGGCCGTTTGCCGGCATGAATCGAAGAGTCGCCAACGTAGAACCGAGGCGAGAGAGGAAGTCGGCGGATGCAGCTACGAGCGATAGACGAGACTCGGGCAAGGATTACGCACGCCGCTCCAAGGACGACAGAAAAGCTCTCAAGATGCAGCGCGCGCTGGCCACCGTTTCGTACAACAAACGCTCGTCTATCAAGGACCGCCTGTCGCAGTTTGAGTCGTTTGACCAGTTCGACCTCGTGCCGGCCCTAAAGACGGCCGTATCGGACGAGCTGTTCAAGGACATGGTCGACGTCCGCCCGACACCGGTCCAGCGATTGGCGATACCCGCCCTCCTCGGTCAACCAAGCCCCGACGAGCACAAGAAGCGAAGCGAACAGCTCGAGTCCTTCTTGCTAGCAGCCGAGACGGGATCTGGCAAGACTCTGGCGTACCTGCTGCCCGCCATCGATGCGCTCAAGATCGCCGAGGCCGAGGACCCGGATATCAAGGCCTACAGGGAGCGACAGCAGGCCGAGAAAGAGCGACAGGAAGACCAGAATTTCAAGGGAAAGCCCTTCGAGGAGCCCCATCCCACCATGGCCCGGCCCAAGGTGGTTGTCCTCGTGCCGACCGCTGAGCTGGCTCAGCAAGTCATGCGCGTGTCCAAGTCGCTGTCCCACGTGGCCAAGTTCAAGACTGAGATGCTGTCGTCCGACCTGAAGGCGCAGCAGATCCAGCGGAACCTGTATGGACCCAAGGGTATCGATGTCGTCGTCGCCACGCCGCATCTGCTCGCTTCCATTGCCGACTCGGACCCCAACGTCCTCTCCCGGGTGGACAGTCTGATTGTCGACGAGGCCGACTCTTTGTTTGACCGCAGCTTCGCACCTGTCACGACAAGCATCATAGAGCGGGCCATGCCGTCGCTGAAGAAGCTCGTCTGCTGCTCGGCCACCATTCCTCGCAAACTCAACAACTACCTGGCCACCAACTACCCCAAGATGGTGAGGATCACGACGCCCAACCTCCATGCTATTCCGCGCCGTGTACAGCTCGGTGTCATTGACGTGTCCCGCGATCCGTACCGCAATAACAAAGATCTCGCCTGCGCGGACGCCATTTACACCATTGGACGAGAGGCATCGGCCCACGAAGGCCCCGTCAAGGGCGAAATTGACGTTCGGCGCGTCATGGTGTTTGTCAACGAGCGCGAGAAGACAGAGGAGGTAGCCGAATACCTACGCTCCAAGGGCATCGACGCGGAAGCGTTGCACAGAGACACGCCGGAAAAGCGCCACGGCGAGATCCTCGAGACGTTTACGACATCTGAGGCACTGCGCATCCCAGCGCCAGACACCACGGGCCGCAAGCGCTCACTGGCAAATGTCAAGGCGCTGGTCGTGACGGACTTGGCGTCGAGAGGCATCGATACCCTGGCTGTTCGGCACGTCATCCTGTATGATGTGCCTCACACGACCATCGACTTCATCCACCGCCTGGGCCGCGCGGGCCGCATGGGCAGGCGAGGCCGCGGCATCGTCCTCGTCGGCAACGACGACAGGAAGGACGTTGTTGCTGAGGTGAAGAGGAGCATGTTTATGGGCCAGGCACTCATCTAGACAGAGGCCTGCGCGTGGCATGTAATACTTTGTACAACATCATCTGTAAATCACATATATTCACGACTCATGGCGAGGAGGGTTGGCTGTATGAGAAGGACAGGGGTCGCTAATAGAGTAGATGAATGAGATTGTCTCAAAGGCCATTCTGCTCTGTATTCATTGCATGAGAAGCACAGAAAAGCCGTGCCCCCTCGAGGGACAAACGACCTGTTACAACTTACACACAACGACCGTCACCAAAACCAGGTTCTTAAGTGGCTGGTGCGGTCCATGTTTTTAGTGGGGCGCCGACGACCACAACCATTTCGGTCGCGACGCGCGACGCGTCTGGACCTCCAACCCCATCTCCAAGTACCCACAACCACCAACCAAGTCTTGCCTCGTCAACACAGTCATTACGCAGTGCATCTGAAGCTCTCGACACGCTCACAGGGCCTTGAACACCCACCGACACTTCGTTCACCCTTTTAATACTATATATCCGCAAACGAATCACAGCAATGCCGCGACCAAAGAGGGCGCGGAACGCGCCGCCCTCCCACGCGACCAAAGCGCAGCAGGAACCGTTAAGCGATACAGACCACCTGGAAGAGGAGCGAGGGCGTGCTAGGGGTCGACGCCGGACTACGCGGTCTACGGGTTCTCGCCTGAGTCTTGGAGAGGAGGACGCGATCCGGGAGGCGAACCGCGCACGCGACGCCGCGCTGGATAAGCTGGCCAACGAGGATGCCACGACGACGGCGAGCGGCGGGCAGACGGTCGGGGACGACACGAGGAGCTCCGTCGAGATTGGACGACGCGCCATGGCTACGCCCGCAATGCGCAGGGACACTACCGGCCTGGACCTGGCCGACGACGACGTGTTTGGCGACCTGGACGAGAGCTTCGCCGACGGCGAGATCCCCCGCGGCGGGCGCTCCGCCGACAGCACCTCCTTGTCCTTTAGCAGCTTCAAGCCCAGGTCGCGACAGTCCAGCATCATCGGCCGAAACGACCCGCCCATCCGCCCCAGCAGCAGGGGGCCTAACACTCCCGGCGTGGGCTCCTCCTTCAACATCGGCGTCTTCAGGAGACGCGCCCGCGAGCCGTCCATCCTGGGCACGTCCCGCCGGCCGCGGTCCGAGACGGGCGGCACCACGAACAATTCCGAGGTGGAGAGCGAGGGCGAGTTTGAGCCCCCCGAGGCGGAGTCGACGCCGCTGAACTTGAGGCGCCGGACGCGTAACAGCTCGCGCGGAGGACGCAGCAGTCAGTCGGCCGAGCCGGCGCCCGCGGCAGGGTCCAGGAAGAGGAAGAGCGTGGAGTCCCATGAGGAGGGTGCCCGGCCGGAGAAGACGTCGCGCGTTGAGTCTGAGGAGCCCCGGCCACAGCTCGAGGACGAGGGCAGCGACTCGGAGCTATCTGCCATTGCCTCGTCGCCCTCTCCGCCCCCTCCGGGGTTCTTCCAGCGGCCCGTCACGCCCGTCAACATGGACGACATCACCGCACCGCCGGCCAGCAGCGACTCAGAGGAAGACGCACAGGTCTGGCCGGACATCCACACCCTCGCAAAGAAGCGCCGCCGCCCATCCGTCACCACTCCCATGCGGACAGCAGAAGACGCCCTGTCCACCGTCTCCTCCCCGCCCTCCCTGACGCACTCGCCCAACTTCGCCGAGCGGGCCACCAGGCAGCGCGGCCGCGCCGCAAAGCGCCGCCATCAGGAATCACCCAAGGTCACCACGGCGGATCTCACGAACCTGCTCCCCAAGCGCCGGTACAAGAGGGTCCGCGACGACCCGTTTGGCCTCGGCAGCGACGAGGAGTTCGACACGGCGGACCTGGCGCAGGACGACGACGAGCTCTCGTACCTGGACGCCCGCGCTGCGCGCAAGCGGAAGGCCAACCGATCCCGCAGCCGAGCGGGTTCCGACCGACCAGCTTCCCGTGCCGGATCTCGCGCCGCCTCCCGTGCCGGATCCCGCGTCCGCGGCGGCAACGCCTCCTCGGTCCTCAAGCCGAAGCAGACGCCCGCCTCCACGGAGCGCCGCTCGGCGCGCATCATCAACAGCAGCAGCAGGAAGACGTACCAGCACCGCCGGTCCTCAGACAAGGAGAACGAGAGCGGCAGCGAGGACGAGGAGCAAGACGGCGAGGGGTTCAGCCAGTTCGTGCCCCTGCCCGACGACACGTTCGAGACCGGGGACACGGGAGGGGCCGAGGCGGCGCCGGGCCGTCGCGACTTCGCCACGACCGAGGAGCTCAAGCAGGCGGCCAAGAAGTTCAAGGAGGTGGACAAGTGGGAGCTGGAGTACGAGGAGGTGGCCGAGCCGCCGTCTCCGCAAAACGCTCGGTAGACGGACTGGATAGTCAGTGAGCCGGATACACGAGCCATGTCTGTTCTGTGCTCTTTTTCTCCCCCCTTTTCTTCTTGTTTTCCATGAGCGTAGTTGGAGTATCGGGCATTTGGGCGTCCTTGCGAGTGTTGGCGAGTCTTGTGAGTGGTTTGACACATCAGTTTCACGAGATGTAGCGTGGCCGTGTGGTCTACAGAGTCTTTTCAGACGCGAGCCATGGTGGCTTTCTTGATATCATGTTTGGTTCGTCCCGCTGGAATACAGTTCGCGAGGACCGTTATAAAAAGCCAGTTTTCTAATCGCAACTCCCCAACGCCGTGACGCTCATGCCAATACAGTCCACGCACGCCCGTTTGGTGCTCCGCCGCTAGGCACCCTGGCTCGTCGTCGCGGCAGCTTCCACCGATGCCAGAATGATGGCGTCGGCCCTCTGGTCTACGGTGTGCAGCAACGGATCCAGGACGTTTGGATCCCGCAGCGCGGTGGTGATGTCGTCTGTCAGGCGTCCCGACAAGAACAACGCCTGTGTCACGGGGTAATGGTCAGTCAGCAAACACGACGCAAAAGGAAACCAACGCGATGGTCTGGGGCAGTGGGGGTGTCGCCTGAGTCGGCGGGGTCCTCACCCTCTTGACATCTTCAAACTTGGACTCCTTCTCCGTGTACTCGCGCAGCACCTCGTCCGTGTTAAAGTCGACGTAGACGCGCGTGTCACGGATGCGCACCACCACGTTGTCGAGGCGCATGAAGAGGCGGCACAGGAGCAGCATGCGGTGGGCGTGGACGCGGACCTTGACGCTGTAGACGGAGATGCCGTTGTCGTCGAGCTCGCTCTCGTACAGGACGACCTCGTCGAAGAAGAGGATGGGGTCGCGCCGCTTGAGGAGCTCGATGGGGATCTTGACGTCCGTCGGCCGCAGGGTCGGCAGCTCCTGCGGCTGCTGCACGGTGCCGCGGTACGTAGTCGAGTAGCTCCAGTCGTAGGGCTTGACGACCTCCTTGATGCCCGCGGTGGTGCCCTCGCGGGTGCTCTCCCAGTCGCGCGCGTACGCGACCTTGAGCATGTGGCGGTCCGTCTTGTCGACGGCGTCGAGCGCCTCGGCGGTGCTGAACGTGATGGACCAGCCCGAGGGGACGTGCTCGATCGACACCATGTTGTCGCCGAAGATCATCTCGGGCATGGGGATGCCGATGCGCTCCGTCAGCGCGTCGATGGCGCCCGACTTGGAGATGGGGAGCTTGCGCGTCGAGATGCGGAAGCGGCCCTGCGCGTGGCTCTTGGTGGCCGAGGCCAGCGCGTCGGGGCTCGGGAACGGCTCCTCGATGTCCGTCATGTGGTTCCTTGTCGACGCGGCGGCGGCGGCGGTGGGAGGGGGGCCCGGCCTCGGAGGCGGGGGGAAGCCTGTGATGTGCGCCATTGCAGCTAATTCGAAGTATAGACGATGGAGATGCAGATGGAAGTTGGACGCTTGGAGCTCGCCGACGAGAGAGGCGCGCGGGGCGGCGGGACGTGGGCTGGGTGGTGGTGGGGTCGAAGGAAGTGCCGAAGGGGTACCTTGCACCGGCGCACCAGGGAGCCCTCGTAGCAGGTACTGTGACCTGTACCTTGCTCTACACTGACGCATCGCTGCTGCCCAAAACCATGACAAAGCCAAGCCAGACAATATAAGAAATGGCGATTACGACTGAATGTGCTACACAGACACAATGCAAGCTAAAGAACGTTGATTTCAAAACGAGGCATGGATGACTTGTTGCGTCAAGTTTTACCTGAGGTTCAGCCAGCTATCTAGGTAATACGTACCACTTCCTGCAGGCCAAACGGCTGCGACGATGAGCGTCCTCAACGGTCGACAAAGACACACACGACCTACGATGCCAATGCACGCCAAATGATAGCCAAATCCAGAAAAAAGATTACAGGAAAGGATTTGCCATGAGAGCATTCCGTGTGCCATGCCTGCCATGCCCAGCTGTGCTTGCGCTGGTCGCCGTTGTGTTAGTCAGCCGCACGCACGCCCGCCGTTGCTCTGACAACCTCGCCTGTTTGGCATCCCTCGCCCTACCCCAGATTGCCTGGCACCAGGTGCCAGCACACACACCGCACGCCACTTTTATCACCCAGCGTCCCTCCTTCGCTCGCAGCGACAACATCGGAACACCCGCCATAGATCTACACCATCCACCATTTCCACCGAAGGCTTCAATGGCGAGCCGCACCCTCGAGTCGCGCTTCGAGCGCATGTCCGTCCAGGATGAGAACGGCGATGTGGCCAAGGCGTACTCGTCCTCCAAGTCCAAGGTACAAAGGGCTATCTGCACATCTTCCCAAAGTCTATCCCGCGCTAATCGTCATGTCACTCCCAGCAGACTGTCGTCTCGTCGAGTTCATCGCAGCTCCCACAGGGCAGCAGCCGCGCGAATCTCTACAAGGTCGCACTCCAGTCGCAGAGCCAGAACACAGTCGCCTCAGTCACGCTGCCGTCACAAGCCGCTCAGCGCAAGGGCAATCCCCCAGCATCTCCTCCACGAAAGCCCCTACCATCCAGCTCCTCTCGCACCTCACAAGACGATGGCGAAGAGGCAGGTTCCGAGTCAGCCCTGGTAGCGCAGCCCGCGGTCCCCAAGCAATTCCACCTAGGCATGTTCGAGATCGGACGGCCCTTGGGCAAGGGCAAGTTCGGTCGCGTGTACCTGGCCAGGGAGCGCACCAGCGGCTTCATCTGCGCCCTGAAGGTGCTCCACAAGAGCGAGCTGCAGGTCGGCGGCGTCGAGCGCCAGGTCCGCCGCGAGATTGAGATCCAGAGCAACCTGCGGCACCCCAACATCCTGCAGCTGTTTGGCCACTTCCACGACAGCAAGCGCGTCTTCCTGATCCTCGAGTTCGCCGGCAAGGGAGAGCTGTACAAGCACCTCCGCCGCGAGAACCGCTTCCCCGAGTGGAAGGCGGCCCAGTACATTGCCCAGATGGCGTCGGCGCTGCGGTACCTCCACAGGAAGCACGTCATCCACAGGGACATCAAGCCCGAGAACATCCTCGTCGGCATCCACGGCGAGATCAAGATCTCAGACTTTGGCTGGAGCGTCCACGCGCCCAACAACCGGAGGAAGACGATGTGCGGCACCCTCGATTACCTCCCCCCGGAGATGATCAAGCCGGGCTCGTCAGACAACTACTACAACGAAAAGGTGGACCTCTGGAGTCTGGGAGTCTTGACGTACGAGTTTCTGGTGGGCGAGGCGCCGTTTGAGGATACCCCGGTCATGACGCAGCGGAGGATTGCACGGGCAGACATGTCGATTCCGTCGTTTGTGAGCCCCGAGGCCAGCGACCTCATCAAAAGGGTATGTTGAGTTCCTAATTGTTTGTGCGAACTTACTCACTGACACATTCACAGCTTTTGGTTCTGGATCCCGAGAAGCGAATCCCTCTCGAAGCCGTTCAGCAGCACCCTTGGATCATTAAGCATTGTGTCAAGGGCGAGAGGGCATCGAACCGTGAGAAGGCGTGATGCAATGTCTGAGGGCATGCTTCGTTGATCGATGCCGGGAGACACAGGCGTACGTGGAGTAGAGGGATTGCAATCGTGGTCCAGGGATAATAGGTGTGCATCTGAAGGAGTTTGGTGTTTGACCTAGCGCGCCATTCGTATACTGAGATGGAGCTGCGTTGCATTTTTTATCTATGGTCTGGGTATCGTCGATAGCGTAACAGGCCGGCTCAACGCCGACAATTAGCCCCCTTTTGACATGGTACAAATCGTCATGACGACTGAAGAATCTCGCTTTCCTCAGCCCTTTTTCTCTTCACCTATATACCTCGTCGAATGGCCGAGTGTCGGAGAAGCACGAGTCCCAGACTTGGTCAATCACCTTGGACGCCTGCGCCTCATCCTTGCACCTCGGCCGCGCCATGACGGAGTTGATGGCCCTCCTGCGGACGCAGTTTTGGAACTGCTGTGTAACCGACCACTGCCCTCTGGTGAAGGCCTCTCGCGTGAAACGGCATTCGCCACTGAGCATGGAAGCGCGGATCTATGCCAGTTTGTTAGCAGGCTGTGTGTCGGATGACGGTATTGGTATCCCGAGAGGAGCTCACCTCTGTGCACGCAGCGTGCTTCAGGTCCTTGTCGCCCGCCCAGTCGACCTTCCACCGCAGGTGGTCCCAGGCGTGTACCATTTCGTGCGCGAGCGTGTCTTCGAGGTGCTTGCGGTCGCGGATCTCGTTTGCGCAGAGCAGGATGCCGTGGTTGGGGCTGAAGCCACCCGACTGGCGGTGAACCTGGCCGTCTTCTTCGAGGCGGGCCGGGCAGCGGCGGCAGAGGATATTGTCGCGGTCGAGATTGCCGTTGAGGCCGCGGATCTTGTCTGAAAGGAAGCGCACGACGGGCGAGTAGGTGAAGAGCCAGTCGCGGTACTCCTCGCAGCGCTTGCAGTCGCGCTCCTCATGGACCTTGTACCGCCATTCGCGGTAGTGGAACTGGCCCTCCTTGGTCATCTGGCCCGAGAGGATGCTGAAGTAGTTCATCCACCACTTGGTCTCAGGGTCGAACCCTGTGCGCGCGGGGTCGTTGACGACCTCTCGCGGGGCCCCGGTGCTGGAGCTCGATGCCTCCGCGCCGGCGGCGGCGGGCGTCGATGATGGAGAGTCCGATCCCATGCTGGCTGGCGATGGCTTGCGGCCCCCAAGCCTGGCGGAAAGCAGGGCGGCCGAACGGTGAGGCGACTACGTGGTCAGATGGCCTGCTGGCCGGCTGCCTTGCCTCTGCCTGTTTGCCCTGTTTCTCGTCTCCGCTGCCGTCCGTACGTGCGTACTCGAACGTCGGCCTGCCTGTGTCCCTGCCTGTCTGCCCTGTTTGCCTTGGCGCCGCCGCGTACGTACACCGCTCGGTTCGACGAAAACTAGATGACTGGCGCCGTCGGCTCGAGCTTGACGCTCAATGCGGAGCAAGAGTCGTTCGCCTAGACACACCGTTCCCAGCGGGATAAACCGCGGGTCGCGTCAGATGTCAGATGAGAGGATGAGGGGGATCTTCGGTCCCAAGGTAACTTTGGGACGGGCGCGCCGACACGCCCTGCTCTGGGCCGGGTGAATGGATGGATACGGAGTTTGATGTGACGAAAAAGGCGTCTGTCTGCTGGAGCAACGACGAGTCGTGCATGCGTTAAAACCGGATCCTTCCAATGGGATGGGATGGACTCGCAAGCGGTGGAATTCTGCCACCCGCGGCGCCGCAGGTTTGCGGGCGGTGAATGGCCAGCGGCTGGGCCGTTCGCTCTAGCGGCCTCAGGGGGGCTTGGGTTCGCGGCGCCTTAGCGCCTTGTGCTGCCTGCTGAGGTCATCGACCCAGCGGGCTGCGCCCACTGACGCCAATGGCCCGAACCAGCCATCCGGCCTGCAGGTGCAGCGGGACGGGAGCGTGCGCCTGAGGCAAATGTAGGTACATGAGGGTGCTGTAGCGTGCGCCAAAGTTGGGTGGCATGGCGGTGCCTAGGGCGTACCGTAGCGGTCGGCAGCCCAACTGAATGGGTGGAAAAGGGGCCCCCCGTAGGCCCCCGTAGGCCCGGCGTACGAGTAGAGGGGGCGACCGGCGGCGGGCCTGCGGCGGACCTATAGCGGCCGTCCAAGCCCCCCGGCGAGCGGGTCCGACATCGGGTCCGTGGCGGGCGGGTCCAATGAGCTCTGACGCAACTCACACCTCTCACACCACCTGCGCGAAGATCCCAGCAGGATCCTACCTTTCAGCATACAAGTAGTACCTTGGCTTGTGGTTCTTTCACACGCCCCGGATGCACATTTGCAAGGAACATACGGCGAAACAACGATGACGGACGAGGGAATTACGAGCGGCCGCGCGACGCCGCAGCCTCAGCAGCAGCAGCAGCAGCAGCAGGCTCAAGGTATGTCCTGGCGTGTCCTCGCATGTCCTCGCATGTGATGGCGTGAGACGAAATTCGACAGTGACGTCTCGTCCGTCCGCCTCGCGCCTCGCATTTCTTCATCTCTTGTTCCTCAAGTTTTCCCTCGCCTGCCTCAGCCCCTGCTTGTACTGCTTGAGCTCAATTGCTTCGCCTTCTTTCGCTGTTCACAGCTTGCCTCGCCTGGTACTGACCATACATCTCCCACAAAGCCGCCGACATGACGAAGCGTTCCAAGTCGTACACTGTCGTCATTAAGCTCGGTAAGTCTCATATTGCCTCATTCCCCAGTTTATTCTATGGCATTGGCTGATCGTCGGGCGTAGGCACGAGCTCCATTGTGGACGAAAAGACGCATGAGCCGCTGCTGCCCATTCTGACGCTCATCGTCGACACGGCTTGCAAGCTGCGCAAAGATGGCCACAGGGTCGTCATCGTCTCCTCTGGAGCTATTGGCGTTGGCTTGCGCCGCATGGACGTTGACAAGCGGCCAAAGCATCTGGCACAGCTGCAGGTGAGTGACGTGATGTTTCCGGCCGGTGTTGTTGCGTGACATTTCAGCCTGCTAACTTTAATGCCAGGCTCTGGCCGCAATAGGCCAATGCCGCCTCATCGGCCTCTGGGACAGTCTGTTTGCCCACATGGCACAGCCCGTTGCTCAGATCCTGTTGACCAGGAATGACATTGCCGACGTGAGTAGTCGCCCGGGCAGCGACGTTGAGCCACTTTGGACCATGAGGACTGACATGAGTGAGACACGCAGCGAACCCGCTACCTAAATGCTCAAAATACATTCAACCAGCTCATGGACATGGGTGTCATTCCCATTGTCAACGAAAACGATACCTTGGCCGTTTCTGAAATTAAGTTTGGCGACAACGATACCCTCTCTGCGATCACGGCCGCCATGATCCACGCAGACATGCTTTTCCTCATGACCGACGTCGACTGCCTCTACGACAAGAACCCCCGGACTCACCCCGACGCACGCCCCATTGAGATTGTGGATGACATAAATGCCCTTGAGGCTGATGGTAGGTCCCGGTCCCAACCCCGCAATCGATAACATGCCATGGCACGCTGCTGACAAGCACATGCAGTCTCAAGTGCCGGCTCAGCCCTGGGGACGGGCGGCATGGGCACCAAGATTGTCGCTGCAAGGCTGGGCATGCTGGCCGGTGTCACAACGATAATTACCCGGTCCTCCAATCCGGGCAACATCCTCGGGATCGTCCGCTACCTCACCACCCCCCGAACCCCCAGCAGCAGCACGTCATCCGAGTCTGGTGACCATGCTGCAGACCACATCACGCAGAAGACGGTCTCATTGAACCTGTCGGATGCATCGACGCACTTTGATGAGACCGAGGCTCCTCCCCTGCACACGCGGTTCCTGCCGTCGAGTGATCCCATCCAGGATCGCTACTTCTGGCTCCTGCACACCCCCAACCCGCATGGCACCGTGTACATTGATGCCGGCTGCCACCGGGCCCTGATTGACAAGGCAGGCCTGCTTCCCGTCGGCGTCGTCGACGTCGAGGGCCACTTCGCCCAGTCGGAGGTTGTCCGCCTGGTCGTCGTGGAGAGGCGCGCTTCGTCCCCTGGACCTGATGGAAAGCGCTGGGAGGGCTTCGCCCAGGAGGTTGGCCGCATCATAGTCAACTACGCCGCCGCCGAGATCTCCATGATTATGGGACATAAGAGCTCCCAGATCGAGAGCATTCTCGGCTACGCAGACAGCGAGTACGTCGCCGACCGGTCGCATATTGGCTTCTTCAGGCCAGAGAGCCGACCAGTCACGCCGATCCGGGATTTGAGTTAAGCGATAGCATGGACGTTGGAGTAAAGGCACTATTTCTCTTTTTCCTTTGTCCTCGAGGCCAAGGAGGCAGGATCATTCCCCATTGGAAGAAATGAACCAACTGAACCAACAATTTTCCATTTGATGCCCTGTAAGTTGCCCGTAAAATGATTTTGCCCATCAACGCCGTTGCCATGTCAAGTGCCCGAGTTCTAACGCCAGCAGAATACTCTTTCCGTCAATCTACACAGGCCTCCCAGCTAGGTCGTAGCGAACAGATTGTCTTCGTCACGCAGGTACTCGCCGCAGTCGGCCTGCCTGAATACGGTTATGCCCGTCGGGTCAAGCCGCCGCGCCTCAGCCGAGCTCCGCGCAGTCAGGCCGAAGCCCAGAGGCGTATCATTCATGCTGTAGACCACGACTCCCTGGTGCTCAGGGCAGTCGTCGGACCATCGCCCGACGTGCGCCTTGACGACGTTGCCGCCGTACAGGAACGGCATCTCTCCGTTGGGACGGACCCAGACCTTCCATCGGGCGTGCTCGGCGAGGATCTCGAGGGCGGTGATGTGCAGGCGGAACTTGCCCGTCTTGGTAAACTTGCCTGCAGAGGGCAGAGTTAGCATAGGAGAAAATTGATCAGGGCCCCCGAAAGGGAGACGGTGCAGGGTCATCGCACCAATGCAGGTTCCCAGGGACAGAAGCTTCTCGCGTGCTATCGACGTGGCCAGGTTGGCGATTGACAGGCGAACGTAGTAGACGCGGTCCTTGACGAGGCGAAAGACGAAGCGATCGGCGTTTGGCGAGTCGTCGAGCGGCGCAATGAGGTTCTTGAGCGAGCTGCCCGTGTAGTTGGCGAGCTTGGTGAAGAGCGTCTTGCTCTCCTGTTCTGTGAGGGGGCGCATGTTGGCGGGATCGATCAGCGCCTGTCAGTTCGGTATTGCCTTCTCAAATTCTTCCGATCCGTTGGGTATCGGTCCGGAGAGTGAGGTGGTGCTGAAGCTGGTGAAAAGGCGTGGTTCAAAGTGTTTCGCGAACAGGTCAACCGTGTCGCAAAAAAAAAATCTGGAGCCGACGACGAGCCTATCAGAAGTGGGGTGCCTGGCTCGATAAGATGACGGGCGGTCAAGCCTGGAGCGCTAAAAACCAGCGGGTTGAGACGCTGACCGACAACTGGACGTGCTGCCCAGTGGACTGCAGGCGGGATGGCGGGGTAGCAGGAGGAACCTGGAAGCCCTGGAGGTGTTAGCGCCGGCGCTCGGCGAATTGAAGACCCAGCGCCGCGACCCAATGCCCTGCGTTGGCGTCCACGGCACGAGACACCACCACCTCGTTTTGCAGGAGGCGTCGACGGGTCGTTCCAGCACGCACCAACCCACCAGCCCGCCAACCTTGGAACTTTGCAGCTCCCGTCCCCCTCTGCCCAGTGGAGCACAGCGCCCGTCACTTCAGGCTTCTTCAGGGCACCCGTCTGCCCGTCGTCTCGCACCAAGTCGTGCCCTGCTATTGTCGCTGCCCCTCCAGCACCGCCGGCGGCCATCGGACGTGGGGTCCGGTCACCCACCACCACCCTCGTTGGAGTCACACTGCTTTTCGAGGCCCTTCTCCCCGTCTCCCTCTCCTTCCCCCCACCATCCAGAGGAAGCAAAAAGTGCGGCCTGGGTTTTTGTGACTCACGCCCTCTTCCTCGACAGCTATATTCACGGTGAATGAAGCCAATTCGACTGATCGCGCCCCCCCTCTCCACTCTCAGACTGCAAATCGCACCCCGAACATACCGTCGTGTCCAAACGCTCGGGTCCCGCCGACTGTCGCTCTCGCGAACCCTCAACGCATACCAGGTGCCCAAGCCGCGCAAGCGACAGAACGACACCGTCATGACTTCCACCGCCACGACCCTCAAGGGCCAGCCCCTTGACAAGCCCGTCCTCGATGCCATGCTGCGGCGGCGCATGTTCTACACGCCCTCGTTCGAGATCTACGGCGGCGTCGGTGGCCTCTACGACTATGGCCCCCCGGGCTGCGCTCTCCAGGCCCACATTGTCGACATATGGCGCAAGCACTTCATCCTCGAGGAGGACATGCTCGAGGTCGACTGCACCGTCCTGACCCCGCACGACGTCCTCAAGACCAGCGGCCACGTCGACAAGTTCGCCGACTGGATGTGCAAGGACCCCAAGAACGGCGAGATCATGCGCGCGGACCACTTCGTCGAGGCCATTCTCGAGGCCAGGCTCAACGGCGACAAGGAGGCTCGCGGCCAGAAGGTCGAGGAGAAGGACGACCCCAAGAAGAAGAAGAAGAAGGCCAAGTCGGAGGCTGTCAAGCTCGACGACGCCGTGGTCAAGGAGTACGAGGAGGTTCTGGCCAGGATCGACAACTACGATGGCCCTGAGCTCGGTGAGCTCATCAAGAAGTACGACCTCAAGAACCCGGCCACCGGTCTCCTGCCGTCCGATCCCGTTTCCTTCAACCTCATGTTCCAGACCTCCATTGGTCCCAGCAGCAACCTGCCCGGCTACCTCCGCCCCGAGACTGCGCAGGGCCAGTTCCTCAACTTTGCCAAGCTCCTCGAGTTCAACCAGAGCCAGATGCCCTTCGCGTCTGCCTCGATTGGCAAGTCTTACAGGAACGAGATCTCCCCTCGTGCCGGTCTCCTGCGCGTTCGCGAGTTCCTGATGGCTGAGATCGAGCACTTTGTCGACCCCCAGGGCGGCAAGAAGCACCATCGGTTCCACGAGGTTGAGGACATCGAGCTGGTGCTCCTCGACCGCGACACTCAGCTTTCCGGCAAGACCGAGACCAGGAAAGTTGCCATCGGCCAGGCCGTCAAGGAGGGCCTCGTCGATAACGAGACCCTCGGCTACTTCCTGGCCCGCATCCACCTCTTCCTCGCCAAGATTGGTGTCGACCTGTCCAAGATGCGATTCCGCCAGCACATGCAAAACGAGATGGCCCATTACGCTTGCGACTGCTGGGATGCTGAGCTGTTCACCAGCTCCGGCTGGGTCGAGTGTGTCGGCTGCGCTGACCGCAGCGCCTACGATCTGAGCGTGCACGCCAAGAAGACCGGCGCGCCCCTGGTTGTCCGCGAGCGCCTGGACGAGCCCCTCGTCATTGAGGAGTGGCAGGTCGACATTGAGAAGAAGAAGTTTGGTCCTCAGTTCAAGAAGGACGCCAAGGCTGTCGAGACGGCTCTGCTCTCCACGTCGCAAGAGGAGCGTGAGAAGCTGTCCAAGCAGCTGAGCGAAACCGGCAAGCTCACGATCGACGTCGCCGATGTCAACGGCGGCAAGGTCGAATGCAGCGGCGACTCAGTCAAGATTGAGTTCCGCAAGAGAGTCGAGAACACGAGAGAATTCACGCCCAATGTCATCGAGCCCTCGTTCGGCATCGGTCGGATACTGTACTCCTTGATTGAGCACAACTTCTGGACTCGCGCCAGCGATGGTGGCGATGAGGCCCGCGGTGTAAGACTCCCCCACCCGTTCTTGGTTCGACATCTAGCTGTGTGACGAATTTGCTGACAATGAGACGCAGGTGCTCTCCTTCCCCCCCACCGTCGCCCCTACCAAGGTGCTCATCGTGCCGCTGTCGTCGAACGCCCAGTTCAGGCCGCACATCAAGAAGATCTCGCAGAGGCTGCGAAGCCTTCACGTCTCGAGCCGCGTGGACGACTCTTCGGCCAGCATTGGCAAGCGGTACAGCCGCAACGACGAGCTCGGCACGCCGCTTGGCGTCACGGTCGACTTCCAGACCCTCCAGGACGGCACGGTTACTCTGCGAGACCGCGACTCCACGACGCAGGTTCGCGCCGACGAGGAGACCATCGTCAATGCCATCAAGTCCCTTGTTGACGGCACCAAGAGCTGGGAGAACATTACGGCGGAGCTGCCCAAATTCGAGACGCAGGAGGTTGACATTGCGACTCGCTAAAAGTCAGGATAGAGCGTGTTGGGAGACATACAGTGGGAAAGAAGGCCGATGTTGGCATGGGCGAGTTAGAAGTAATTAGATAGAGAAGACCTATCTTACACAGCGATCATCTTTTCTTGAGACTACTACGTGAATGGCGACGACTCAGCACCGTAATCGTGGCTCTTGGCCAAGTCGCCGACCAGCCTAGACAGGTGGCAGCAAAGCAGCGAGGATGGAAACGAAATTGGTTTTTGCCTCGACCTCAAACACATGAGGTTGTTGGCGGGAGCTCCGCACCCATGTCGTCGGGACCGATCCGAGTGGAATAGGTGCCCGTACAGCAACAGGTCGAAGGGGGGCGAGGGCGTGGAGACGGGGGATCTGCAACGGGTGCGGACCCGTCGAGCACTCGACCATTCAACGTGACTTCGGGGCCAGTTTGATGAGCATGAAGCAAGCATTGGCATCCTCATGTCGGCCGGTGCGGGCGGGTCCGGTCACCGAGCAAGCATTCGATGGCGAGCATGAGTGGCTATAATGCACTTTGTACGGCATTCGAGTCTCGGAGAGCTGACCGCCCTGGCAGGTGGCATTGGCTCGCTCCCTGGTTCTGAACAGATGCCATGCTGGCATGACCCCATCAGCCAGCCCAGCCTTGTTGTGCGAGGCAAGCTGCAGATCCGCCGTGGCAGCCAGGGTTGGTCTCGGTCAACGGGTGGGCATCCGGGTGTGCGCGCCGGGATGGCCGCCAACGGTGCAGGTCACCACCGCCTCACAGGCTCACACGTTCGCTCTTGGCCATGACTGGCAGGCAGGCATCGAATCGCGAGCGGGGAGCTCTGAAACGCTGCAAGTTCAGGGCTGTTGGGCCGAGATGCCGTCCCTCTCCGCAGTCGGCTTCTGCTGCCTACGTTCCAAGTATGGACCACGATACAGAGTACGGAGTACGGCCTACATAATGTGCGGTTCGGCGTGCTCCTTGGGTAGCCACGCTATGAATGGCATCACATCGCGGGCGGGTGGGCCTGCGGACGGGGCTCACGATGATCAGCGAGGCGAGCCTCATCGGGGTGGCTGCAGAACGCGTTTCGGCTGTCGCCCCTGGCGCAATGCAACGCTGGGCTGGCAGCAGCACGGAAACGGCTGCGCGTCGCCTTCTCGAACGTGCATGCGTGCTTCCGCGCAAAACGCGACCGGTGGGGGGGAGACTTGGGGGGGCCTTCGTGGGGAGGTGCTCGTTTCAAGGAGGCCCGGCGGAGGCTCAAGCAGCGTCATTGTGCGTCTTGGCTTGAGGGCGGGCCACGGTTGGCCGTGTCGCCGACTCGCCGGTTCGTGGGAGCGGCTGATGAGATTTTTTGGAAGGGGCTCGAGGGGGGCATGTAGGTAAGACGGGGGGGTGATGCCTTTCACGTCCATCCGATTCGCGGCTCTGTGTGCCTGTCGAGCCACTGGGGCGAAGTTTTGTCATGGCGGCTGCAACCAGTCCGTTGGGTCTCGGTGCGGCGTTGAGCAGCAACCTGGAAGGCACATCCATTGCCTGGGAGCAGCACATGCGCTGGCGGTGGGCGCACGGCAAGGGAAGGGCCCGTCCGTCTGGCGACTTGCAGAGGCTTGCCGCCACGCCACGGGACACGGCCGAGGACGATTGGCGATGGAGGGTCGAAATAGGGGAGAGGCGTTGGGCGCCTCTGAACTCAATGAAGCAAATGCGGGTGCAGTGCCTGGATTG